TATATATATATATATATTGCTACCTTTTGACTCATTTGCTCTTCGGTGGTTTTGTGTGGATGTTTTGATGAGAGATGACTTGAATAAACATTGGAATTGCTGTAGCATCAGCATCACTCAAATCGTACTTGTCTGAGCAATGTAACCTAAAATTAAAACCATAACATGGCACCTTCCACTGAACAGTCAGACACTGTATATATACACACATAAACCATGAAAAAAGGGATACTGCAGCTTTTTTCTTTTTTACTTTCTTTAAAAAGGACAATAAAATATATTAAAACTTATTTACAGTGTGTGGTTTTTGGACAGAAAACAACAACAACAACAAAAAACAAAGCGCTGTGATAGAGTGTTTTCCTGTTTTGCAGGTATTTATAAGATGATGTGTCCCTGTTTCCTGTCATCATATTTTAAGCCAAGTAAAGTAAAAACAAAAACAGAAACAAAACATAACACCCAGATCAACAATGAAGACCAACCAAAATGTACTAAAGGCACTGTCAGAACCATACATTTCCATGAATGGTACCTTCACTTCAGAGTGATAGGGGCTGGAAGGGAAGGGGTACATGTTTATGGGCACACCCTGTATGGCACACCATAGTTTTGCCAGATATGGTTCATTTAGAATTTTGATACATTGTTTGAAAATAAACAACAGCCTTCAAAAACCATTTCCCCCCAGAAAATTATAAATATTTTGAACATTATTATTAAATTGGTCTCAACACCAGCATCTGATTGTAAAAATGAATGTAAATCATAATAGAAAATTTAAATATAATCTAACTCAGCTGTACACATTTTTTCTGTATTTTATTTGTACACAGTGTCCCCTACTTGTAGGTTCTTTTACTGCAGCTCCTGAGAAAAGCAAGGATCAGTCCAAACCTCCCACTGGGTCCTGACGTTGTCCCTCATCCAGTGAGTTGAGTGTTGGCAATCCCTTGAGCTCTGTACAATAGGATATGCCTACAGCTAGTCTTGTGCACATTCTGTGAGCTCTGCACGTCATACCGTCACGCCAATGCAGTCAGTTCCATCTCAAGCCTCTGAGTATGAGCTCTGTACATTGAACTTATCCTTCTTTAGTTTGACGCCATCCACTAGTTCAAAGTTATAGTTCTCCAGGGCTGATAAGTTCCTGTCTGACATGCCTCCATGTGAGCAGGCACAGTACAAAACCACACCACAGATGGCACCCAGGAAGACCCCCAGGGCAGACATGGCAATGATAGTGATGAGGATGGGATCAAGGGTCTTCAGCATGTTGCCTGCTCCACTAATTTCATTGGCCTCCACAAAGACTGGATATTCTGTGATTTCCTCAACTGCACGGGAGAGACAAAGGCAGAAAAGGAGAATGAGATAGGAATACAAACTGTGAGGGGTTTGAGGAAGAGGTTCTTAAAATAAATCCTTCTCATGAATTGACTTACGGATTTCATTGAAGCGATCCTCTGGTAGTATTGGTTCAGTGGGTACATCAGGATCTGATTAAACAGAAATTCTGATTAAATGGAGTGCTGAAAGAAAACAAGCTGCAGTCGAAAGTGCCACATTTTTTCAGTTCATGTGTCATCTATTTACACTCTGCAATGAGCTCAAACTAATTCATTCTGGATGTGGCCACTCCCTCCTGCCCTGCAGTAACCTTTGCTTCCGGCCAGTTCTGTCACCTGACACCCGCCCTCCTCTATGACTCACCTACAATTCGCTCACTAATCACAGTGCAGTTGCTTTCTGCCAAATTGTCTTATGTGTCCCAATGCCATGGTTTTCCAGTATTTTTCTATGCCTGCTTGTGTGCTTCTCGTTGTGTTATTGACCTTTGCTTGGATTTTGGACCTTGCCTTGTACCATTGTGTGGACTGACTGCCACTCTGTTACTGACCACAGTTTGTTTGACAATGCCTGTGAACCTGCCTTTACTCTGTTTACCAAAATAGATAAAGGTAAAATTGTGGAACTCCATTCCCAGGGTTTGAGTTGTGCACTTAATTCTCAGCCTGTGTTTGTAACACAAAAGTGTATAGTCATACTTCAGATCAAGAACCGAATAGAAGTATTCCAAATATGAAAACTAAATGCCTCACCTTTACAGTCTGTCATGCTGACCTCATTGAGAACCTTAATGTCATCCACAGCAATGTCTCCCCAGCTTTTTCTTTCCACAAGGCCTTCAATCACCACCTTAAAAAAAAACACAGTGACTTTTGGGTAACCTTTTCTTGAATGCTACAATGGAGACAGCACAGGTGTAGAATTTTGATTTACCTGATAGGGTTTGTTGGTGCGTGGCACAGGAACACGACCTTCTCTCCAACGGTTGCCTTGGTGACCACTGACTGTCCACAGCAGAATGTCTACTGGTCCCTCCACTGTCTGTTTGCGCTGTTTGATATGCAGTGTGCCAATGTGTGACCCGAACATGTGGTACCAAAAGGACACACACAGGTCAGAGTCTGGGGAGCTGATCACTGGGCTGACCAGTCGAGCCACATCTGTCTCTTGGGAACCTGTTGCCAAGGTGTAGATGAAATTCCCTGAGCCACCTGTTGGATAAAACAGATCAGGTAGACAAAAGCTATGAGACTGAAAGGAAATGCTTATAGTGTGTCAGAAGGTCATACATTTTTTTGGCCCAACAGTAACCTACAGGGGTCCTACCCGTGTGATCCATGTTGGGTCCAGTGTTGAGAGTGGGGGTGCCACTAGACTGGATCTGCCACTTAGAGCCAGTCTCCTCAGATGTCCAGCTGCAAAAGGACGGGTCATTGGCCCATCCAAAGTCACAGGCAAACCACAGAAAAGCTGCAAATATGTTGAAGAAAGGTCAGGATCATGTGTCCAAGGATCTCAAATTCATCTGACTACAGGTTACATTTTGGAGCCTCCTCCACTCATCCAGACCACCTACAAACACTAGAGGGCAGCAGAGAACTGTGGAACATAAGCTTACAGTGACACTGCCATAGCAATAAAAACTCAGGAGGGAGAAATAGAGTGGGATAGGAGGCAAGTTACACCTCTGACATGAGAAAGAAAGGAAAGTCACAGTGTAGACCTCATGTAGCTAATATATATTGGCTGTAGTTAATGACCTCTTTTAATGAATGTGACAGTCAACAAAGAAAGGGACACTAACAGCAGAATAACAAGAAGTAGGAAAGAGGAAGATGATGTCTGGACATGGTGTCCAGTTGAGAAAGCAACATTTATAGTAACCCATAGAGAGCTCAGGATTTTAATGAGAGCAGGGACTTGAGATTTGTAGACAGCTATGGTAACAACGCTGGGGCCCTAGTCCAACAACTCAATACCCCATAGACACATGCCATGATGAAGGAGCCTCTGCAGAGGCAAGGAAAATGTGTGGGGGCTTTAGTGTTTTTCAAGCTGGATAAAGAAAGACTTCCAAGGCACACAAGGGAGTGAGATGTTTGGGAAGTTAGCCACATCCTTCAACTCCAGCAAGAGATGCCTTTAGAGAAACAATGAGGCAGCTCTCCAAATGGCAGAATATATGAACCAATGTTGCCTTTAATAATGGGATGGTTATTACTAGCTTTTACAGGGAATGGCTCTATTTGCTCATTGAACACAAAGGATGGAATTCCCATGTGGAACCACACTGCAGATGCTGAGCAAATGTTTTGATCAAGAATTCCACCTTACCGATTAAAATGTCTTTGACTTTTTTGTTTCATCCTTGGAAGGCTTTGACTGAGGCTACCGACCAAGCTCAAGATGAGGTCAACAGCCACATCACCTACTTGGCCATTTGATAAAAGAAATAGACTTTTTCTTGAGAGTACAGCCTTTGGGATTAGGGTGCATGGCATGCATATACCCACTCAGACATGCATGGTTTGAGGCTCTTGAAATGAAAAGTCAGACAGAATAATGTTTTCCCACAGACACTTGGGTATGTTCATACACACATTCACACACACACACACAGAGGCCGGCACCTGAGATCTCATCTTTTATTATAGCGGCAGCAGACTGCAGACAGACCACAGAGCCAGCTGATAGAGTGAAAGGGGTTGGATGGAGCCTATGGCCCATTAGCCAAGGTCAGACTCGGGCACAGCCTATTAGCTGGCTGCTGTTTCATCAACCTGTTATAGGAGACTATTCTATGTGTGTGTATCTGTGCATGTGGCCCCAAAGCACACATAATTTCCTGTGTGCATTTGCATTGTGTTTTCCTGTTTTGTGTTATAGAGTGAGATTTTGTTTACTGTGTGTCAGTGTCTGCCCAGTGATTAGTAATTATGCTGAGAAAACAGCAGCAGAGCACCAGTGCTAATCATCAGCTAACCCTGAATCACACAACCTCTCTTGCCCTGTCAGCAGGAGCCTCTCAGGGCCATACCATCAGCTTTAATAAAAGGCATACATCAGAGGAGAGAAGCTGCCTTGAGTTGGCAATCATTAACTGGGGTATGCTTCTAAATAAATCTATGGAAATTAATGAAAAGAAAAAGCTTGAGTAGGTAAATGTTTCAACATCATAACACGCAATCTTTAAAGACATCACTTTCAGTGTTGAGCAAAATGTGGAATTGTTGATGGCAAAGAAAAATCATATATTTTCCACTCACCTGGTACAGTATCAGCTTCAACAGTAGTGGTCTCTGGCATCGTGGGACCACCTGTGACAAACACAAAGAAACTTTAATTTCATGTAACTGCACCCATGCACTAAATGTGCCTAACCAAATTTAGCTAAATAATTTAGGACTTTCTTTCCTTCCTTCTTACAAGTACACTACCTTAGTATTTGTACCATTGAAGCACTTAAGTAGGTTTCGGAACATGTTACTAAGACTGTGCCGTGCTCATCACCAAAGATTGCCACATAATGGGGAGTGTAGGTAGGAGTACAGACCAAGAACAAGGAAGGTGAGAGATGAAGAACAGAGCTGGCTATTGGTAGGTTTACATGCAGATGCATGTGGATGTGCACATTTGGTGGTCTCTGGTGCAAGGTGCTAATGAGAAGATAGACTGAAAAGAGAGATGGGAGCTACAGGTGCAGCTAATTAGAGCTGTGTACATGGCGGCGAGCATGTGAGCGCATACATGCATGTTTACAGAAGTGTATGGAAGAAGGCAGATTAGCTGAAGTATCAAATCAAGCCATGGAAGAGAGCAGTGAAGCTAGGAAAGTGGCTCTATCATAGAAACGAGGGGAACGGATCAAGTGTGAGCTGTAGCAGAAGGAAAGGAAAAAATGGGAGAGGTGGGGGCTGGTTGCAGTCTCATGAAGGCGATGGTAGCACCTGTCACATCGTAGTCATCACCTGTGCCGCTGTGGCAGCTCGCCTGGTCGTCGTCACACTCATCGGACAGAGTAGTGCTTGGAGCTAGTGTAGTGGGTGGGTGTGTAGGAGCTATAAAGGTGATGAAGGAGAGAGACAGCAGACAAAAGATTATATTTCAAGTTAAATAAGGAAACTAATGTAGGGCCTAGAGCTTTGGCTTAATGGCTTTGTGATTCAGTTTCCACTTAAACATTTGAAGCAAACCATAATTTCTGTTTTCCCTTATTGTTCAGAGAAGGTAAGATAATGTGTATCATCAGCTATTACACTGCAACATTTCAGTACATTTCTGTTGTTTTATCCAATTACTGCCTGATCATTATCTTGCCTCAAAAAACGCACTGAGATTGAGAGAGAAAATGCAGCAAGGTTTGGCATTACATTACGTTCATTTGGCAGATGCTTAGGTCCAAAGGAAAGTTTATAAGTGCATTCAAACATGATAAGAACAAGAGTTAAATGCCATTTAAAATGGGAAGTGAATATCTGTCAAACAATTAACCAAACACAAAGTATGATCAGAGTGCTACAGTAAAAGTAAAATGAGATGTAAAGAGTGCTAACATGGAGTGTAGATGGAATCCAAAAAATGTGGGTTAAATCTTCACATTATTAACACTATTACAATGTTAGATAAAAATTCTCAGTGTAAAACAAAAATGCAGAACAGAAACACTAAGTCAGAGCATGTGTTGAATTTGTTGTTGAAGTCACAGCATCAGTTATAAGCTTCTGTAAGTTTCATATCATTTCACCTATAGATTGAACTGCATGACTCTTGCATAATGAGGTCTACCAAAAAAAAAAAAACCCTGACATTTGTTGGGCGAAGTGTTAATTACATCTCCAAGGAGTTAAGACAACACTGACATGATTAACTCTGTCAAATAACACTGAACAACATTTTACACTGACTGTGTTAAAAATATTCTTTGGGAGTTGAAATCTGTTTAACTCTTGAATTTCAACACTCAAATTTTTGCTGCGTATAAACTGAAGTGAAACTACAGCTGACACTCAGAGAGGCAGAAATTGGCTTGGAACTGACTATAGGCTTTCTTGCCAAACCTTTTCCCAGGAGACTCCCATTTTTCACTACCCGCTCCCTATTTCTTCCCGTGGTCAAAATTTCCCCACATTTCTCAGGATTTATGACAAAATTTCAAACCTTTCCCCCCTTTAGTTATCACAACCTGTTCCCGGTACTGGGCAGCATGTGATTATTGTTTCCACCTGGACAGCCATACAGCTACACCTTCTTGGCAAGCACATGGGCACTATTCATACCTCCTCCTCCCGCCGCCAAGTGAAAAATGAAGACAGGAAACAACTTAACCTTCTTTCACATTAGCTCATTAGACAGACCCAGTTGAAATGACACCTATTTTTCTACGGTAACTCAGGCTAGTCATCATCTATTTTATAAATGGATGGTTGACTAATTGTATTTTCAGAATGCTCTTTTACATCTTTGTTATTTATTTGTTTTTTGTTGTTATTTGTGGGCAGTTATGCAACAGCTTTACTGGTCTACTTGAGATTGGGTTTGGTTATATTTGGCCCCTGAAATAAAATGAGCTTGACACCCCTGAACAAATGAAAACCGATACATTTTTATTTTTATGCCAGAGTTCTTGCTAAAGGAGGTCAATTATTTTGTATTCTCTGTATTCACTGAGAATTAAAAGTATCTTAGATATACTGTAAGTACTGTTGCAGTAAAACACTGACGGGCTTCCCCAGTACAGAGGGAGGTCAAAGGAGGAGGGCAAGGGGACTGTGAGAAAAATGTACTGCCACACCCTAAAAACTGTATGTGTACACTATGTGTGTGTGTGTGTGAGACAGAGCGTGTGTGCATGTGTGTGAACCACTCCTGCGCTTGTCCAGTGCTAGATGAAATATGAGTAGATCAGCCCCTGTCAAATTCAGAGTGGGGAGGGTCAGGGACGGGGTCAGTGCTGCTTCACGGGAGCCTCACACAGAAATGAGGACTTAGCCCTCTTGATATGACCTCTTACAAACACGTACATACATGCTTGTACACACTAGTACAAGCACCTGTGTATGTGAAAATATGTATACATGCCAATAACCACATATTTGGCAGGCTGACTGTGGTTGCTGTGTGTATATGCCTGTGTCAGTATGTTTAGCATTAACAGTGAAAACAAGCATTATGATCTTATTAAAGCTCCCGGTGGGAGTCGACGAAACGTACAGTGGAATGGGCCTCCCTGAAATCCAATATGTAAATCCACTTAGGGCTTGAGTGCAACACAGTCTTGAGTCTTTGAGCTGTTTCTGTGCTAAATCAGCTTTGAAAGAGACCAATATAGTACTACAAAAAAGAAGGGTAATTTTAAAGACAGCAAAGTGTATGCAGTCCTTTAAAAAAAGAAAGATATGCAGGGGTTGAGAAGAGTGTGATAGGGGCCTGGCTGAAAGAATCCTTCTGCTCCGGGTTCATTTGATCCCCTCTAGAAGTAGCTAACTATGGGGGGAGCTTTGATTTAACAAGGAGACAAGACAACTATCTCTTGTAGGAATAAAGAGCAGGAGTTGGACAGATGTGGTCTCAACAGAGGGAGCCCTCACACACATCTTTAAATAACCGGGACCATGGCACAGGCATGAAGTGCAAGCTATCACACAGCTGTCATTAACTAGGATGACTGATGGGAGTGTGGGAGTTGAGACACAGAGATATGCACACACTGACTGCAAATGAATGTACAGAGTTATACCCAGTAAAGACAGCATAGGGATTTTGACAAATACAACCCTGTAATCATCAAGAGTAGTAATGTCACCACCAAAAGTGAAAATGCCATTACTATGGTCAAAACGGTTACAACAGCTAAAAATGTCATTAGCATGGGGAAGAAGGTCTGGGTAGTCAAAACAAAAGTTATAGTTTCAGAGAACAGAGAACATAGAGAATGCAACAAATGTAAACAGCTTGCCTTTAATCTCACAGCCAATGAGTTCAAGTCGCAAGCCCATGCCAGCAGGAGTGGCCCTCTCTGGGTAAACTCTGATGAAACGGGTCAGCAGGGGCTCCAGTGTCCTAAGCTCAGGAGTGTCATAATTGCTATTCCCTTCAAATATCTGTTTGGGACAGGGAGATGAGGTGAAAGGAAAAACAACAGAGACAAAGAGTGAGTGAAAAAGTGCAATATTGCAAACAATATCACTGTTGAGCATTTGACTGATATAGCTTTCTGAGTGCAGATACCCCAAGGCAGACTTATTCCCTCCCCTCTGAAAACTAGAACTTGGGTGGAGGGCTGGCATGTGCTGGGTAGGTGGAAAGATGATGGAAAAGAACAGAAGATGACCAGATCTCTCTCATCTCAATAACATCTAATGCACAGCTTGGCAACTGCTGCATGAGGCCAGTGGCAAACACACACCTCTGTCAAAGGCAACTTTTGGTTCCTTTCATATGTGTCTCAGACCCACTGCAAACCAAAGAATAAATGAGGAAAAAGAGGAGAATGTGGGGTGTTAAAGAAGCAAGCAAAGGAAGAGACAGAGGACTGATGGAAAAGGATTAATGGATGTGATAATGTGAAAGAGACTGGTGCGCCTTAGATGCTGGGAATCTCTTAGACAAAGGAGAGAGAGGCAGCTAACCGGGGGATATGGATCCTGCTCAGTCCCTTCATAAATCAGTCCTCCACCTACCTGGATCAGATTTATACCCTGTGAGGGAGGTTTGCATTTGGGGATGGGCTGTTGCAGCTCTTCTGGGAGACATGTGTGGTTGTGTATGTGCTCATATATAACTTTGCTTTGAATGTAAGCATCTGAATGCTTTGAGCAAAGTCTTAGGCTGAGTCTTCTGAGGATGCAGGATGTTACTCTCTTCTTTGTCTTTCCTTGTTGGTTTTCCCCTGATACCCTTCACCCCCCTTTTTCATTCTGTGTTGTACAGAATAAAAAGAGGGAAGACAGAACTGAAAAAGGACTCTGAGACATGAGATGCTTATCCCAATGTGATTAAGCCCACTGCTGAAATTGACTTGCAACAACTGCTGAATGATTCGTAACTGCCAGGCTCAGATTTCTGATGAAAATTGATTAAATGTGTCATAAGTGGAATCATTGCACTGACATATCTGAGCAATATTTTTAGTAACATGAATTCAAATCATTGTCCGCAATGCAGAATGTCACACCTATCATTTACTTTGCGCTAGAAATCAAACCTTCAATTCCAACCCATTCCTTTGAAAAGACATCTCAAGGGTTATGCCTCTGATTTAGTAGCAGAACTGCATTGTTCCACTAAATCCAAGTAAAGAAAAAACTCTCACTTTTGGCTTGTTCCCATTGGCATCCAGTATCATCCTCCAGTCAGAGCCATTGTTGCTATAGCCAAGGCGGAACTTCTTCATGAAGACTTTGTTCTCACGGTGCTTCCCTCCCTGGATGATCAACCCCTTTATGAGTTTCTCCTCACCAAGATCCACCTGCAGCCACTCGTTAGTGAAGGGCTGGGGCTGGGGCAGCAGAGTCCACCCAGTCCTGCTGGTCAGCAGGCGGGCATTTTCTGGTACCCAGCTCCGGTCCGTATGGGAGGACGCAGTGATATGGTTGTCAGTGATGAAGCCTGACACCATGCCAAGCATGCCTGAGCATGGGTACTCTGGAAGAGGAAAAGAAAGGACTGTTTCAAGTTTTGATACAAATGAAAACCCGCAAAGCCGATACATACACAGGCAACAACTGACTTCACCTCTATCCAAAAACTTGTTGCTCAACATCATTTACAATGCCACAAGTTGAGGTTGGTAAACTAGAGGTTCGTATAGGGGCAGCAGGGATAGTCAAAGTCAAAATGAGGAGGACAGTTTCCCCAAACTCTTTGTGATGTTGCTGTGATCTCTCCCTCTTTCTCCTCCTGTCTGCAGAACTCATGCATACTAAGTCTTCTGCCTGAAGCGGTTGTCTCCAGGCGGCCCATTAAAACCCTCCTCTTGGAATGGTGCTTCCAAATCCTGAATTCTGCTTTTTTCTTCATATCTCTTATGCACCCCTTCCTCCCACCACAGACTCACATTTGCCCAGACAAAAAGTGGGTTTTATCTGCTGCTCCTGCTCTGCAGCTGCCAACATCTGTGAGATGGTGGTTTTTTACCATGTTGTTTCTTCAGACTTCTCCTCCTTTTTCATCTTTGGATCCTTCTCCCATTTGTTTCCATATGTTGCCTCATCTTTTTTTGGTGACATCCCTTCTTATCAAGAGATCAACAGAACAAAATGTTACAGGTTGGAAATATTTGAATGCTTATCCTAAATTTCTTAACTTTCCTCATGTTTTCATACTACAGAAAAGGTGGGGCCACCTGAATGTGAAGCTTTATGCCCAAAGTGAAACAGGACAGATGCAACCCAACAACACAATTTCTCATTAGCAAAGTACGAGTGTTTGAGTGTCAGTGTCAGTTTTTGTGTTTAACTCACACTCCTTTAGCAAGTGGTCCACTTAAAATAAGACTTTTTTATGTTATACTCATAAATTGAATTTGGACATAATGTTTTCAAGCATTTGTTACACTACTTGACTGCCAGACTGCTTTGAAGGTAGAGACACTATAATATTATGACTTCAGTTTTATACCGTTATGAATTGTGCCTGGATTTATTTTATGAAAGGGAATTTCTTTTGAAATGACTACAATAATAAACAAAAGACAAAGGTCCAATCTACAGTAGCTAATAAAGTAATACTTATCTAACAAATTCATATTCATGTAACATTTCTTAGTACTAGCAAACAATCTGTAATGATTCTATGTAGTTCTTGTGTCTTGTGGGTGTAACAGTGAGTGTTAGAAGGTTGGTGGTATAATTTAAGCAAAGCATCAGTAGATATTATGCACTGACACTCGTACACTGGTTGCAGTATGTTTATGCCTGTCTTCACACACTTTTGTCAGTGTTGTATTTAGTGCCAGAAGCTTGTGCTGCATTAGGGCTAAATCTTCCTGTCTGTCTTTTAACTTTTCTCCAACACTACATCACGAGAGACAGAAACAGCAAGAAAATGATTACTCACTGGTTCCCATGAAGGGATAAATTCAGGCATTATTACATTTTCTTAACTGCACTGCCATAGTGTAGCTGCATCTGGAACAAGTCAGCAAAGACTGGGAGAACAAGGCCTCTTTCAGGTTTGTCTTTCTCTCTCAGGACATCAGGTCACTGGACTTCTCCCTCATTGACTCCTTCGCCTGGCAGAGAATCAGAGGTAGTTCCTATGCAAACCAGTGGAATGTGTCTCTGGCCCTCCATGGAAGCCTCCTGTTTTTGGGGCGTTCTCCCTCTTTCTTTCGTCTGTGGCCGAGATCTCTGTGAGAGTGGCCACAGTAGCTAAGGCGCTGCATATTGACCATCTCTAAAGCGGAAGGATATGTGAGAAATGAGGTGTATGTGAGTGTGGGATTGAGAGTGGATTGGTGTGTAAAAACCCATCTGAATTTAGACACTTAGACGAACTCCCCAGGTCATCTGGAGCTGTTAATTGACTTCAGCTGCAATCACAGAAGCTTCTAAGATGGCATTCATGCAGTGACACACCCAGAGGAACAGACTATCTACTACATGGCGGCCCCCGAGGCAGACGTGTTTGCACATTCCACTCTCAAATGCCGGCTTTTTCTTCATTTTCTTCTTTTTTGTGTGTTTTTTACTCTTTCTGCAGTGCACATATCTCATGCGCTGCTAATATACAACAGACAGGCATTGCTGGATATCGCAACTCACACAGTCACTATGAGTTTCAGAATCAGAATCAGAATCAGAATCTGCT